TTCACTATATTTATTGTAAAGGAGATATAATAAACTTCTCAACATTTTAAGCGACATCCTGAGTGTCCATATGGAGATAAATTTACCTGGATGTTTAGTGTAGGAATAGGATTCAAACCTGTCATGGATTTAAATGATTCAGAACATCCCCTTCAAAGTTTTAAGTAGTATATTTTGGATAAACGAGGATAGTTCAGTTCAAAGTATATTGCATGTGCATGAGAAAAAATAAGGATGATCACTGCTGGAATAAATCACATACTTCCAAACCATCGCATATATATCATGAGATAAACATCTTATACCAACTGAGAAGTAGACAGGTTGGTCCAGATTCGTTGAAAGTTCAAGGTTCAGTCCAGCCTTCACACACGCTGTGACGGTGTCGACGCTGTTGTTGATGTAGTGGTGTTCGCTGATGATGTTCTCAATGGCGGCTTGGTCGCTGATCACGTAACCTTTAAAACCCCATTCATTTCTCAGGATATCAGTCAGGAGCTTCTTGTTGACACATGCTGGAACTCCGTTGATTCTGAATAATTGTTACAGGTAAATTCAAGTGGTGGATCGGGGCATATACTTGGCACGTAAAAGGCAAAGAGAGCTCAAGGAGTAAAACAATTGCTTTGCTTAGGGTCAGTGTGCGAAATAACCACTGGCCCGCTAGCCCGTGGCTAGTAAAAAATCCAGTCGGGCCAGTAAATCTCCACAGTCACTGGCCCGACTGGTTAGAGAATTTTCATGAGGTCATTTTTTATGGTGTTTTACCTTTTAGTAAACTTTTGCTTAGTTTCACCATTCAAATTTCGGGCTAGTGAATTATTTTGTGGGCTAGTAACGTTCAGGCATAGCTAGCCGGACTGGATAGCACAATTTGGAAACTATTTCGCACACTGCTTGTGGTGTAATATTGCAATAGCCTTTTCATGACGTATTCTGTAAATTAATCTGAAAATGAAACTTACATGAACGTGAACAAGACGACAATTAAGAAATAATGAATAAAAGATCCTGAAGAGGCTGTAGATAGTAGTATTTCAAAACTGTGAGAGAGCTAAATTCTAACGCTGCTTTGAACAGTATTGAAGCTATTCAGTTTCATTAGGGAGGAAACACCTAAGTGATACAGGTCACTGACGTTAGGTGAAACCCTCATGCTCGGGTTCGCTGCTGACAAATCCAGAAGCACAATCGGGATGAAACGGGATTCGAACCCATGATCACAGATTGCTGGAGTACCCTTCAGTTCTGGGCCACCTGTGCCCAGCACGAACATGAAGGTTTCTGTAGTGGTTCGAGTACCCACTTGTTGAAGCTGCACATGAGGTTGAAGGTCCCGGCCTTGACACAAGAGCGGAAGGCTGGCAGAAACGTAGTGCGCCAGTCTCTCTCGGACACCTATGAAACACATTAGACATATACTGAAACACGTCGATACATTTACACCATATGCGTGCCCTTATGAAACTTAATCCCCTTGTTACGAATGACATCTGAATGTAAGCGAACGACGAAAATATGAGGCAGACTTCTAGTCGCTGATTGGCATGATCCTGACTCACGTACAGATACATTGTTGGACTGTTGTTGCGGTGTTTGACTATTTTCACGTACTCCCTGTGCTATGTAGCGTGACCTTAATCTTTACGTTACCTTTGCATCAAATGAGAACCGCGACACGGGTATATTTTCAGGGCCGCCATGAACATTGAAGTGTTTGCAGCCAGCGTTGGCTCTGATGTAGCGGGGATCGTTTCCCTGGAGACCCTTCACGAAGTTTGCAGCATAGACTCCTGACAGAAATGGATCCTCTCCATACGTTTCCTGCAGACAAATCATCTCCGTATCATTATGGATTAAAGTGCTTCAAACGGAGCCAAAAATGCTACAAATGTAAGAGATTCATCCATATTTCTCAGTACGTAATTGGTACTGATTTTGATCTGGTCAACAATGTACATTCATTGATTCTTTCCCCACACATGTCTACTAGTCTTATTCAAACACCCATTTAGACAACTAGTATATCTGATTCCTCTGGTACACTTATATTACACATGCGATCCATGATCGACTTGGGCCTCCAGATAATCCGCGATTGATCGCTGTTCAAGGTTCTGATCCCTGTTCCTGCTTTCCGACACCTTTCAGCCTCCAGAATACCTTGCCTGACTCCTTCCCAGCCTGGGGTCTCTCACCTGATTCCCGCACCACCTGGGATGGCCCACCTGATTCCTACCCCACCTGCGGCCACTCACCTGGGTCCTGCCCCACCTAAGGTCTCAGATCTTATCCCTTCACCATCTTGGGCCTCTTATCCTTTACTTCCCCACCTGCGGCCACTCACCTGATTCCTGCCCAACCTGGGCTCTCTCACCTGATTCCTGCCCCACCTGGGGTCTCTCACAATGTTGATGACTGGACTGAAACAGCTGATACCCTTGTGGTCGCCATATTGTCCTTTCCTCATGTAGTCAGTAAACTTGGCCCTCACCTCCTCACCAGTGGCCTGGGCTACTCGGAATATCAGATCAGGGCTACAGGAAGGGATGAGAAATAATTCCATGTTTATAATTCGATATAGCTGAATACTGTATAAGATATATGCACAAAATACCTTTAAGGATATAGGTGTGGTGCATCAGTCTGAGCGTGTGGGTTCTGATGACACTCCAAACAAGGCAATAAAATCAGTACTTTACTGAGAAAGTGTGATCCCAACAATCCATATGTTCCATGAAAATGCATGTCTCATAAAGTCAATAATCAAGTACGGAAACTCTTCAGAGACACATCAGATGCGAAACATTTTAATGTGTGCACAGCTAATGGCGTTTCATACACAACGTGCTTCTAAATGGTTGAAATAATATCTATACGACGTTATACTGTACCTCACTTACTCACAGGCGACATGACAAAACTCAAGATCTTCTAATTAGTACTTGATGTGTCGCAATGTACGTGATGATGTCTATCGTAAAGTTCAAACAATGCCATCAGTAATGCACTGGGGGAATTCCATATGTGATCCTTTCTATCTTAATAGTTGTAACATATATAATACCATCATTGCAGTACGCATTACTTACACTAACATACCGTTATAGATGTTTCTTAACGTTTTAGCACTTTTAATGACAAACATCACAAAATAATGTTCTAAATTATACGGTACAGACTATATGTGAAACGCAACACTAAAACAATAACAATTATGTTTTGAGTATTACATACGACGTGCAAATTGTTTGACATTGTTTCATACATTCAAAATAACAAAAACAATGCCGACACAGTATACATCATCGTTAACACATGAACAGGCTAAATATCACGCCTTCAGTTGCCTGAGGGGCTACTGTGACTGTAGGAATGCATTGAAGACAGAAATGTCGGATGAGGTCACAGCGAAATGAATAACAAACAGAGAATGTTGCGTTAACGCGCTGTCCTCAGTTTTAACATTTAGCACTGGTGTGTCACTGTGTACATCCTGCAGGTGGGGAGAGCTGGAATTTCCTTTGACTAACATTTATCTTGACCATATCCTAGTCTTACAATGGCTGCAGTGTGTGTACACTTAAACATACTTCCGTATTGATACAAGATGTGTCGATTACACATATGATATACATACATATTCAGGACAACATAGTGCGCTACTTCGTATGCTGTAAATAATTGAATTAATATTTTATGGACATTTACTGTACTGCAATATCACGTAAGTGAGTAAGTATGGTTTTACGCCGCTTTAGCCGCATGCCCGCTATATTACCGTGAGGAACATCGGAAATAGGTTCACACATTGTATTTCACTGTGTTTGACGTGACGATCGGCCGCTTTAACCACTATTTTACCTAAATGCCCCCACTATCAGATAAATATGTATACAAAAACACATTATTAATGCAATATGATATTTTTAGATGCTACATGTAGCTTGTGGATCGATTCAAGGCGTCTGCACACACGCTGCAACTTACATGAGATATATGAGTGGTATAGACAGTATATTTCCTATGGTCTTACCTGAATGAGGCACCAAGTCCTATGGCCTGGGGAAGGAGGTAGCGTCCCCCGGCCCGGCGTCCCCCCGGAGACACTCGGTGTTCCAGGAGTAGGGTTTGATACCCAGTCGGGGAATACCAGGGGCGGGGCCAGCTTTAGGCCCCGACCCCCCACGTGACATCTGTAGTTTGATTTCGTCCAGGGTGAGACGACCCACGAGATCGTTGACTCTGTCCCCCCAGGGTAGAGATGTGTTTCTAAAGGGGAACTCCCCAGCCACGAGGGGAGCAAGGTAGAGGAGAAGAAGCATTGTTCAGGGACGACACTGTGTGTATGACTGGCGTTATGACTGCGCAGCCAAGATATATATAGATGTGACCTATTTATAGATCAGTTCACGGATATGTCTACGCTTCCTGTTTTTCGTAATATTTAAAAGTGGTAATTACTGCTCTTTGATTAGATTAGGTTTGGTTGCAGAAATACATCATATTCATGGTGTCATGGGTTCGAATCCTACAATGGTGATAGATGGCCCGTTACGTCTCCAGTTCGAGCGTGAAGTACATATAGATTTGTATGTCACCCAACACAAGACGGATAGCACAACCGATCGGTGCACTAACAATGATTTGTGTAAAGTGCACACATTGAGGTTTACGTTTGTATTTATGCTAAATGAAGTAAAATCTTAAACAAATATAACACTGAGTGGAGCTCAGTACACAACAGGTACTTTATAGAAATGAATAAAACAATAGACCAGATATCGTGGGACCCTGTTTGTGGACAGAGGGTCGGTTTATGTGTGACAATACCGGCTGGCACTGTGTGAAATCGCTGGCCATGGCAGTGACACACGGACAGACCCCATAGTTTACAGGCTGCCTCGGTGTGGGCCATGAACTCGGTGATCTATACAGTCGACATGCCATTTCTTGATCATCACGTTCAGATATCTCAAATACAGTGAACACATTGAACTCCTGTCAATTTTTATTTCTGTAAAATGTAAAAGAGGACAAGAAGGGGTATATATTAATATCGACCAAGAATCTTCTGTCCTTTTACCGAGAACTGGCCATTAATAACATTAGAGTCGATGGCTGGTTTGGCGTTGGGCTGCTGACCTCCTACCCAAAATGAAATGACACCTGTAAAAAAGAATATAATTGGTAGCCATCACTACATTACCCCGACAGGTGGTTTTACGTGGCGGTGTGTGGTCCTGTGCGTAGAGCTCAGGTCACAATCAGTTGAAGTTAAGCAACGTTGGTCGCGGACAGTCCCCGGATGGGTGACCGTGTTTGGCAGCTTGACTCCTGAAAGTTTCTAGGACTTCAGTCCTGCCCCACAACGAAGCACATGTGACGCATGTGGTCTCACCTTAGGCAAGTGAGTTTGTTCAAACTTGCCTCTGTCCACCCAGCAGTAAAATTAGGTACCTGGTATGACACGATGGTAGTCTGAATTTGAACCTTGAGCGCATGACAGGCGACCGGTTGTATTCTCCACAGGGAGTGTTCTGTACTCGTTGACCAGGGGTAATATGTCAGCGCTTTGAGCATGCAATAAGCATTGATAAACGCGCAATATAAACGGACTATTATTATTATTATTTTAATAACAGCAGGTTTGTCTCTATTGTCAGCTGCAGACTCTATTGTTTACTCCCCACCAATCCGCGAAGATCCAGGTTAGAAGGATGGGCACACACGCTGAGTCTGGTGGACACATGTCATCGTACCCCAGTTATGTAGATCGATGCTCATGATGTTGATCACTGCATTGTCTGGTCCAAACTCGATTTTCTACAGACCGCCGTCATGTGGCTGGAATATTGCTGAGTGTAGCGTTAAACAGCAAACCAACCAACTCCTCATCAAGAAAGCCCCTTGACGACATCCAGCAATAAACCACCAACCCGCCCTTCATATTAGTTGTCTGCTTCACAAATAAGCTTACCTGGTTCAACAACCCATCCCTTCTGGTCAGTCCACACTGCCATAGATTCAGCCGAGATGGTGAAGTTCCACTGAGTTTGTACACCCCGTGGTGCAAACACTCTGTTGAAGTCCACCAGCTGAAGCTGTGGAACTGTCACAGTGGCGTTAGACCAGGATATATACACCTGGATGACCTGGAATTGAGACAAACCCTGAAGTTATTCATGGTCCGATGTTGGAACAATATTGCAATATAGGCAAGGGTGAAGGTTGAAGCTGTTTCCTTCATACATACATACCTCATCGGCATCAAATGATCCCCTGTTGCTGAATGAGACAGAACCAGCTAAGTCGGCCCCGGCTGTCACCTGATCGGGATACTCCAGAATGTTGTAAAAGAAGCTGGTGTATGACAGACCATAGCCGAAGGGGAAGAGAACTGGATACGTGGCGTACCGGTATGTGCGTTCAACCATTGAGTAGTTGGTAATGGGAGGCACCTTGTGAAAATACCATGCATAGATCACAACTACTACTGCATCTACATCAGGACTGTATCGAGAAAACTGCATTGTTTTAAGCGAAATAACTTACGCACTAGAAGCATGTGTTAGCACATAAAATCAAATGACACCAGATTTGCTTTTGGTTCATGAATAAGTATTGCATCATTAAAAATACACATAGAGAAATGCGAGAGATACGAGCGAGTGAGTGAGTGAGTTTAGATTTACGCCGCACTCAGCAATATTCCAGCTATATGGAGGCGGTCTGTAAATAATCGAGTCTGGACCAGTCAATCCAGTGATCAACAGCATGAGCATCGATCTGCGCAATTGGGAACCGATGACATGTGTCAACCAAGTCAGTGAGCCTGACCACCCGATCCCGTTAGTCGCCTCTTACGACAAGCATGGGTTGCTGAAGACCTATTCTACCCCGCGAGAGATACGAGTATGTCCAGTAGGTAAATGTATAACGTCAACGCCATAGAATAATCTGTCTCGACTATCAGATTCTACTAGGTGTGAAAGACAAATAGTGGCCATTGTATACTGCAGAAAGTGTCCTGAGTGTCAAGTCATCCAAAACATCTTTCAAATATAGATAGAAATTACTTGCATTCAGGCAAATAAAGGGTAATTCTGACAGATCCTCAGTTCAGAGATAAATGAACAGCCTGCTGTTATGGGCACAATACACACGAGGTTCTTGAAGAACTGTGTTTTGTTTTGTAGTGACATTAGCGTTACCCCATCCGCGTAAACATGGACAGACCAGGACTGGGTCCCAATTATTATTTAGGAATCAGCTAAAGTGATTTCAAGTAGAACAGGCATCCCTTTGTCCACTGTTTATCGTGTTTTGAGAAAATATTGCAAATGGATATGGCATTGAGCACCAAGGAGGCGCAGTTAGGCCCAGAAAATTGACTGTCGGTGACAGGAGGCGACTTGGTATTCTTGTTTCTAAAAACAAATGAAGGAGTTTAGAAAAACTAAAGGCTGGATATGTTTGATAGAGGAACTGTGGCTGTCTGTAAGGAGACAATTAGAACTGAGCTGCATGCAATGGGTTGGCAGAAAAATCGAGGAATTCTATCACCGATCATGAAACCTGAACAAAAGGAGCGAAGGTTGAACTGGTGCTTACAGCATAGACATTTTAACTGGGACAATGTGATTTTCTCAGATGAAAGTTCTGTGTGGCTGTTTCCTAATACACTGAAATTCTGGACCAAAAAAACTGAAAAACCTTTGTATCAGTGCCCAAAGTACAGTCCGAAATTTAACGTGTGGGTGGCATATCTGTGTTAGGGGCAACGCCCCTCTGTGTATTTGAAGGGAATATGAACAGTGAGCGGTACACAGATATTCTCGAGGGACATTTACTTCCATCTGCTCACGTGATCTATGGAAATTCTTGGATTTTCCAGCAGGACAACGACCCAAAACATCGTTCAAAGCAGTCACAGGTCTGGTTTTGGACCCAAAATATGACATTATTAGATTGGCCAAGCTATAGCCCTGACCTAAATCCAATGGAAAATGTTTGGGGACTTATGCAGGAAAGTTTTAATAAGAAAAATCTGACAAATATTGCTGAAATGAAAGAAGAGGTGGTCCGATATTGGGACAGCATGGACCACGACTTTCTAACTTCTTTGATCAGTAGTATGCCCCGCCGCATTGAAGCCTGCATTGCTGCCCATAGTGACTTGACAAAATACTAACTGTTCACCTGTCTTTGAATCTGGAGTGTTGTTCTGCTAATATTCACATTAATACGTGAGTAATGAGTGAAGAAAAAATTTTGTACTGATGTATCGAGACAGAGATCGACCTGCCCAAGTGTGACATAGACGAGGCGACAGACTTCAGAAATCCAGCGGAACATGACCGATATGATAAACATAATTTGGCATGGGATCAATAGAGCCTGGGGTATTGATTACCTTGTCCTTCCGCGGGACATGATGACAAGACTGGAATGACATACTGGATGTGTACTTGAGATCGTAACCTAATGTAATTAGCCGGACGTCATCGTATCAGGATCGGTAATGCGCGTAAGGAGCCCGAGACATTGTGCGCATGCAGTAGCCAGCCCAGTTATCACACTTCAACCTTAATACAGTTTTGAAAAAGCTACCGATCACCTTTTCACGACGCCCTGTTATTCCCTCACCTCTACATGAACTCGGCAATGACTTTAGTAAAGAATGGAATAATCTTTCCATTGTAAACATGCAGATACTTATTGAAACATAAAACGATGATGATTATCGTTTGGGGAAAATTAATTTGGTTTCGATTTTTTATGTTTCAGTCTAGGTCTGACTCAGATACTTTCATTTTGCTTTATGAAGTGATTATTCATGGGTCTCACGCTGTTTGTTGTCCTTGTCTGGCACATGACATCATACGTGTTGTCTTCAGACTGGCTTGAACGACATGTGCACACAATTTGACTAATTACTTAGTGGAGGTTATTACCAAACTGGTGACACGTGTATGGATCACTGAAGATCAATGACGACAAGGGTAAGCATGTTCTGCGCTGCAGTTAACACATGCCATTTAGACAATTCAAAACAAAAAGGAAAGTGTTTCTTTGTTGCCTTACACCATATATCAATACTACTGCCAGACGAATCTAATTATTCATGGTATTGGTTGATACATATTAACCTAGGAGGGCCGTTTCATGATAATTCCATGTGTTTTAGCTATCATACATATTAACCTACCGAACTGATATACTTAGGCCAAGTAACCGGAAGTCTTCCGGCAGGAACTGAGTTTGGTCCCTCTGCTAAGAGTACTCTTCGCAATGCCTCGCCTGTTGACTGGGCTGGGAAAAACAGTTCCATGATAACCTGAACATCGGGACTCTCGACAGCCCATGTGATGTTGAGTGGCCCCGCGTTGAATAGGAGAAGGATGACCTTAGCACCAGTTGCTGAAAGGTGAGGTGAGGTGAAAAATGGGTTTTACGTCGTGCTTGAGAATATTTCGCTCATATGACGACGTGCATGCGTGTGTATGTGTATGTGCGGCTGCTTGTACTAGCCCAGACTGAAGCTGGTTTTATAGTGCTAGCCCACTGAGATACCATGCCGCAGTGAAGAATGATACCCCACTCAGACACATTATATTGACTCCAAGTCGACCAGTCCTTGTTGTACCCATTAATGCCGAGCGTCAGGCAGGGACCAACAAGTACCATATTTTAACGTCTTTTGGTATGACGCGGTCGGGGATCGAACCCGCGACCTTCCGCTCTCCGGGCGGACGCTCTAACCACTACACCACGGAGGTGGTCAGTTGCTGAAAGGAGTGATTAAATAGTATAACATTTATAATTTGAACAAAGCGAGTCACGATATATCTTGTTTAATTTCCCCAGGGTTTAACATTCTTTAGCCACGGAATTGGAAAAAGTTTTGATGTTCATCAAATCATTTACGATTTAAGGTGCCTAGCGTCTTTGAGTTGGGAAAAGTAGCCCCATGATAACTTTGGTGATACTGGGTCATCTCCAACGTAAAGAAGGATGACCCCGGCACCAAAAGCTGGTTAGACGGACGTTATGATACTTTGTCCAGACGACAGTAGAATCCGAAACACAATTATGAACAGCTGTAACAGTGCAGTAGTTGATATTGTCCCAACAGCAAAGTCTGTCAGATAATACAGAGAAATAACACTAGCTTTCATATGATAACTGACAGTGCTACAGCAAAGATCCACAATCGCTACAGTGTTGTTGAGCCTCCACCTACCCTGGCCGGCGTTGACAGCATCCTGCAGCAGCTGCAGCTGTTGTCCAGGGAGATCCAGATTGGCCTTGTCGTTGCCTTCACATTCTAGTTCCTGACCTGAATAGAACCCCGTGGAGCATCGGTAACACCATATCATCCAGTTAACATGTAATAGATATAGCACATATAGTTCATTTGATATCAAAGCAAAATTCAGTAAATCGAACAAAACAGCTTGAATCACTTTTTAGGAATATTTTGCTACCCTCACATTACGGATGACAGAAAATTTAAAAAACATGCATCTTGGTTAGCCAGAAATTATTACAACAGGCAAATAAATGGAAATTGACATACGTTCAAAGTTCTTGTCTTTATACAAAGACAAACTTTAAATGAAACACAGAAAATACAGTAACGTGCTATCAAAAGGAGAGGGTAGATCAGGCCAAAAACAAAACAACAAAACAAAATATGAGCTCACCTGTGCCTAAACAGACGAAAATGAGATCGGAACCTGTTGCTGCCGCCTGGACCTCTTGTGAGTTATACTGAGTGCAGTTGTTGTCGGTGCAGCCGGCTCCATACCTCACTGTAGGCCAGAGAGATGCTATACCTTGGAGAGGGTTGCTGGAGTATTCGAGGTTCATCGTGGGAGCATAATCTCCGAACAGTTGATATGTATTGTTGGCCATTGGTCCGACAACCTGTTCAACAAGTATTTGATGTAATGTACATAGTTAAACACCCTGGTCGGTATCACGATATACCAGGATATTATCTGCAAACTGCAATAAGTAAAGCAAGATGTTCCAATCGATCTTGCCAACATATGTGTCATATTCATATTAATATAATAAGCATTTTGCTAGTTACGCCCAATCAGTTTCTTCAGATATTGGATGCTGAATATAATCTGGGCCTGACATTTTGAGCTTGGATATTTAAGTTGAAAATACCTTTTTCAAACGCATGTACCTACCGCCACGTTCTTGTAGCTGGAATTCTTTAAGGGAAGGACGTTTTGGTTTTTCAGTAAAACAAACGTCTTCAAAGCTGCCTCAACAGAGAGATTCCTGTGATCCTCGCCCTGAACTATCGACGTGTTTAGTTTTGTGTATTGATTCATTTCCGGTGGGTCAAACTCTCCCAGCCTCATTCTGACATTGAAAAGCTCCTTAACACGGCTCCTGACATCGTCTTCATTAAGCTTGCCTTGTTTCACAGCATCGTCTGTAATACATGTGGTGTTCTTGTATTGGTAAAGAATCAGCATGCAGATTACATTGTTTCTTTATGATGGTATGTTGTGTTTGTTTTATTGATCAACGCCGAACTCAAACATATTGCAGATATATGTCCCCTTTCTGTAAATAGACGATCCTGGACCAGGCACTCCTGTGATTGATATCAAACAGCTCGATCACCTGATCCCATCAGTCACATCCTGTCACAAGCTTGTGTTGCTGAAACATAGTTCTAACCCTCTCTGAGGTCAGTCAGGAATTAAACGATCTTCATTTTTACTTCGGTGGGGTACCACATGGCCTATAAGTTAGTCACGTACGTCACGTAAGATACGATAAATATAGAGACGCCAGCAGTATGCACTGTATGTTTTGCTCTTAAGTAGATAAAGACAGCCCCTCTCTCTTCATCTCACATTGCCAGTTAGTACTGACGACGGTCATGGCGTCAAACTCTACAAATCACCTTAGCAAACATATCCCATAATGTTTTTCTCACGTTTGTTGATAAAGGTACAAAAAGATTACTTGGTTCTAGAAGACATGTTATAAATGCAAAGCGTGCTTTTACAGCAACAACGGAAAACAAATATTGCTGCTATGCTCGGGAGGCAATCAAAGATGCATCTTACCAATTGCAAAGAAAACTGGATCAGAATCGAAATAGGTCAGTTCGAGGTTCAATCCCGCCGTGACACAGTTTGCGGCAGCGTCGACGGTGCTGTTGAAGTAGTGCTGATTCGTTATGATCTCAACGGCGCCCTCGTCACTGACCACGTAGCCCTTGAAACCCCATTCGGTTCTCAGGATATCTGTCAGAAGCTCCTTGTTGGCACATGATGGAACTCCGTTGATTCTTGGAAATGGGGAATCAAACAAATGTCATCTAATTGAGGATACCAGCTGGTCCGGAATTAATTGAAATGGTGTTTTACTGTGCGGCCAGTTTTTGCAAGCAGTTAGTGCGTACTGAGGTTCATAGTCGTAAGCATTTAAAACAACAGTGTCAATAACGAAGACATGTCGCTATCACATCCTTGCGCTTCCCTTGACAAGGGCTGTCCTGTTGACCAAACTCTTGAGATATATCACTTACACTTATTTGGAACGTACGCAGTATCACATCACCCAGATTTAATATTTCAATGTATCCAGATTCCTACAAGTGCCATTGCCTCAGAATGAATGCCTGTTTCAAAAATGATTTTACGCCATAGTGGTCCAATCATGGTGCGTTTGATGGTGAGAACCTAGATGATGTTATGCCTCGACACCCTTCCCAGCCTACTCTCTCTTTGGGCGATACTGTCCAACAGATTTATAACATTCTCATACGTTCGCATGATGAGATCTCAGAAGCATCTGATAAAATACAGAACATAAATCCACATACAATATATACTTATGTATTTTAAAAGGAATTTTGGGTCAAACGCCCTGCGTTGTTTAATAAGATTACTTCCGGTCCTAGATTGGTGGGTTAAGGATAGTACTCACCTATTAAAGCTACACATGAGGCTGTAGGTCCCGGCCTTGACACAGGAGCGGAAGGCTGGCAGAAACGTAGTGCGCCAGTCTCTTTCAGACACCTGGTAACAACATATACATTTAGCAGGAAGAAAATGTAGACCGTCAGCCCAAACGAACACCCCGTATTGACTGTCCTCAAAATCAAAATTCTGTTTAGTGTAATGGCAACAATAACTGTGAAAAGTATATGAATGCATCATTGAAAATCAGTGACGACTGGAAATAACACCCTATTCATTTGTCAATTTTAAGACAATAAAATGGGTATTTTGTACTTCTAACGTGACGCAAAGAGAACATATACTTGATTGAATGAGTAGACCTTTGCAAACTTCCCCTGTGAAAAGTTTGAAACTGTTATGTTAAAGTTACCTGAAGTTACCTTTGAATCAAAACTGAACCGCGACACGGGTATATTCTCGGGACCGCCGTGGACATTAAAGTGTTTGCAGCCTGCGTTGGCTCTGACGTAGCGGGGATCGCTTCCCTGGAGACCCTTCACGAAATTTGCAGCATAGACTCCCGACAAGTATGGATCCTCTCCATATGTTTCCTTGTTGAAACAAATCATGGCTATTTGTACCTATGCATCACTGTGATTGGACTTTCACTCAAGTGTTAAGTCTCGATTATTGAACAGATGAAATATGGACATATACTTCTAACGTACATGCAGAGGTATTGGCTATCTGATATTTGAACACTATTACACCATCAATATACCTAGAGCATAAGTTAAACATCTTGGTCAAATTACTTTGTTTTGATTTTGCCAACCCGAGCAGAAAGTCCGATTCATATGCGTAAAGAAACAGATCGATGAGGAGGGGAGAGTACGTTGGGGACCATGGGGATGCCTACTTCGTGTCGAAATGGTTTGTCTTCAAACTTTACATAGATGTTATCAATGAGGAAGTCCAGCATTTCACATGTTCTGTCAGAAACTTCAAATGACATTTGTTTTCATAGATTTACAAAATTGTTCTCAACACCTGAAGACAGATGTGTAGGTACATATATCTTTGTTCACAATGTTTAATTACAAATGCTCCATGGATCAAGGAATGAAGTCTTTCCTTTGGTTTGTTTTGTGGGATAACTTTGAAAAATAGACAGAACTGAACTCGGACGTTTCTGAGCTTGTAGAAAGTCATGAAAAACTTTTGCGTTTTGAGAATCCACATGGTTTTAATTCCGTTTGTATCAAATAGTGTCTGTGAATATAGATTATAAGTCCTTACAATATTAAGGATTACGGTTAATTTTTGAGAGAGGGATTTGATGGTAGCTGGCAAAGATTTGGAATCAAGTACAAAAAGGAATGGACATGTCTTCAGAATGATGGTTTTGGATGACAAACTAGCCTTATATGTGGGTTTTATATGATAGGTCACGTATACCATGAGATTAAACAAGGTTTATTCATATAATGGTTATGTTATTTGACTTGTCAGTGGGAACAGCTTCTTTTTCAGTTTGTGCAAAATAGGTTTATTCCAATTCAACCTCTTCTTCAGTTTGTGCATTCTACCAATGCTTGGTTGGTTAGATGCAGTCCTTCGCCTAGGGTCTAACATGGTGTGGATACTCACCTCTTCCATATCGGTTCTCACCTGATTCCTGCCCCACCTGGGGTCTCTCGCGATGTTGATGACTGGGCTGAAACAGCTGACACCTTTGCGGTCGCCATATATGCCGTGCCTTGTGTAGTTGTTAAACTTTGCCCTCACCTCTTCACCCGTGGCCTGGGCCACCCGGAATATCAGATCAGGGCTTCAAGAAGGGACGAAGCAGATATACGTTTTACTGCGATTTAACATTATCCCTTGTTTGATGTTAGCATATATTCAGTACATTCTACTTGTAACAGTGTTGTATATATCCTTAAAACATTCACATTCGTTAAAGAAAGGTTTGGACATATGGATGAAACTGTGTTCATATCACATGTCCGATGAAACTAAGTAAATCCAGACCAGTCCAAGACAATCAGAAAATTATTTACAGATGTTGCATGTCTGCTGTTAAACAAGGAATAATGGCAAGTGGTGAAATCGGGGCAATCTGTAACAACGCAGAACTGTATTACTGAACAACTTTGTCGTGCATCAGGTTGTGCTCATGTAGTACAATGTCCAATAACAGCGGAAAAAGAGTTCCATAATCGTAAGAGAGTCCTTCTAGTTACCAAACAGGCACTTGTACATTAGTAACAAGTAATGACGATATCAGGTTTCCGCCAAAATGTGACCATACCTTGCGCCACCCTTAGCACCCGCAACAAGTCGGTAACATGTCAGTTGTTCACCAGAACAAACACGGAACACACAGTACAAATCAAAATCGGTCATTTTGTCACTGATGCGTCAGATTTAAATATGTCATTCTCTTGTCTTCCATAAACCTTATCAAGCTTTACAGAGGCCCTAAATACTGATCAGGCAGCGTTTCAACCGGAGTCGTATTTCACTCAATGAAAGATCATGTTTTATTGTACCCGAGTAGTTGTGAGACTTTAACAAAGGCTACAGCTGCTGGAATATTGCCTTACATAAAGGGAATCATGCCTTACATTCTGCTAGATGGCGTTTTGTAAAATGTACCAGTATTAACAGGCAATTTATTGTAACTTACATACCAGTGATGTTGTCACTTGTTACAGGCATGTATGTTAGAAATAGTCGAAAACGAATTTCACGTGATCTTTTTCCTTCTTAATGGTCGAAATAGTTACGTCATATATATTTCAGTATATTTCACCCTTCACCCCAAACATCAATTAGCTGTTCAATTAACGTACTGATTTCATCACTGAAGAACGATATGAAAAACTCATCATACATTGTGCAATTTATATTTGTCCTGTGGTCTTACCTGAATGAGGCTCCAAGTCCTATCGACTGGGGGAAAGAGGTAGCATCTCCGGCCCCCACGTCCCCCCGGAGACACTCGGTGTCCCAGGAATATGGTTTGATACCCAGTCGGGGTATAGCAGGGGCGGGGCCAGCTTGGGTGCCCGCACCCCCTCGTGACATCTGTAGTTTCATCTCGTCCAGGGTAAGACGACCCACGAGGTCATTGACTCTGTCTTCCCAGGGTAGAGATATATTTCGGAAAGGGTAGTCCCCAACACTAGAGGTGTGAATACGAGGAGCAGAAGCATTATGTGGTGAGGACACTTTCACAGCACTGACAGCGGTATTACCGGGATACTTTTATCTGTAACTGTGTGAATATATGTTGTGTTGTGCCCTGTTCTGCTTTTGAGATAAACCATTCAGTTTTAACGCCAGGGACCGGCCTTGACAAGTCAGGAGATAACCTCATAAGAACAACCTTTGACTGGCCTACGATCATTGTTTAACCTGAGTGTGAACGGCTATAATATATTTAGTCTACTGCAGTATTTACTTTTTCATGATGTAAAACGTCAGCAGTGTATCGAACATCCGCCGAATGTTCACCAAACGCCTGTAGACACGTCATCCGTCATGATCCTTCTGACCACGGCAAGTATTGCCTGCACCGCTAGGGACGTCAGCACTGATGTTGTACCGTCATGATTGTCCTTCTTACCGATCGCCTCGCAAAGATGGCGTCGAATCGTAGACAATGGCTTTTTTCAAACTTGTGCTAGTGATCCAGCGAGTTTAAGGTGCCGGGATCGAGCCCACATGTGACCGGGTGTAAAACTCTTGGAGACAACTTGTGTGTGCAGACTCTTTCAGAGTTGTCACAACCCCTGGTCTACAGTACACAACCCCGTGCACTTAAAAGACCCACAAGTCCGTTGGTAAATGACCAGATGGTGGGCCACATGATTACTTGCAAACACCTAGTTGTGGGCACAGCAACCTGTAAAACCTGGACAAAGTACTGTGACTATGTGTCCCAGTCCACCCAGCTGTGAATGGATCCCTCGAAAGGATGGGAAAGCCACATTAAGTTGGTGCGCCTAGTGGCTGCTGGAGTTGTATGGTCCCCAGGGAGTTGAGATTGAAAAAATGCGATGTTCCGTTGAGATTGACATCCAATTATCGAGGGGAAAAAGAGCGCTTTGAGCAAGCATGGGATGGACTATAGCGCTATATAAATACCCAAAAGGATCAGACAAAATTGTTACAAAATCAGACTGAATAGTGTACCATACTCATGCGTGTTATTACTATTGTATGTTATTCACAATACACATATAAATGCATAGCTGCCCTATTTTCTAAAATAAACTATGCTTGAGGATATATTCTACAAACTATTTAATTTACAAATTGGCATAATTCAAGAAAGGAATTATTTTCTTTCAGTAGCTTTGAGAAAAACCATTACCATTGCCAGTCATGGTATAACATGTCTTGTCCCTTGCTTCGGTAGAATGGACGTCAGATTAAAAAGTCTAAAGAAATGATCTGTCCAGGTCTCATTCATATGATGAACACCCTCACATATCGTACCTGACCTTAATTGGTCTTCTGTGTGCCAGTATCGGTAGGGCATGCTTTGTTACTTGTCATCACAGACACCTGGTGTCATCGCTGATATTCAGGATCATTAATATAATTTAACAAATATTTTTTCTTTTGAATGAATATGTACTAATTGTATGTAGTATGTACTAACTCCATATTCACCTTGTCGCTTCACTAATGTCAGCGATAACCTTTGTTATGTCATACATTCTTATGGTTGATTAGGGTTCTCGAATCCCAAATTCATTCGGCTGAACATCTTTGGTTTATCAGCACCAAACCAAACTCTTAGAAGTCACAAGGTTAACAAACCTCTGAGACCTGCACCACTTCAGCTCTCCTTAGGTAAACAGACATTACGATATAAACATGTATATGGTGTAGTTTATTCAAACCTCGGTATTGAATACATCTTACATATTACTGGCAAAACAAAAGAGAAAACTGGATGCCCTGTGGTAAATCAGGCAACAACTAAGCATTTCAACACCTGGTAACATCACTACATCAAGATTAAGTACATTTTACCATTTCTGTAATATAAACCTTGTCACTTGCTACACATAGAAAGCAATGCAAATCCAATACCACCCAGTACACGAAACACGCTGTAAGGACATGCTTAATGCTCATCAATATCGGCCAAGTATCTTTTGTCCTATGACCGTAAACTGGCCGGGAATGACATTGGAGTCGATGGCTGGCTGGGCATTTGGCTGCTGACCTCCTACCCAGAACGAAATGACACCTAAAATGACAAAGTAATCTGTTTCATGATAGTGCATTACTTTTTATTACATGCAAATGTTGAAGGATTAATTGTTGAGAAAATTCTTATGAAATTTACGATTTTGAAACTTACGGGGATGTTTCTAGGTGATCCAAACCAAAGTTCTAATTAAAACAAGTACATGTTCTAATTAAAACAGCTGATTCCACTTAGCCAATAGCAGGAATAGTATAGGAAACCAGTCACACTGCCATTGTTACATTAAAATGCCTCTAGAGGGAACAGAGCACTCAAGAGGAGGTCCGTGTAATCACAGGACTGACTGATTTCGCCAGTTGCTCCTGTTTGTGGCAAATACTTATATCCCCGGGGTTACACGGTTACTAACGTATTACGTATAGTCATACTTCTTTAACTGTTGGAACTATGCCATAAAACTGCTGGTTTGCTATAGGTGTTGTCTCTGAGCCTCAACCCGTGAAGATCCGGGTTAGAACTGATCTTCAGAGGGTCGTAAAAGGCGACTAACGGGATCGGGTGGCCAGGCTCGCTGACTTGGTTGACGTATCCCAATTGTGTAGATCGATGCTCACGTTGTTGATCACTGGATTGTCTGGTGCACACTCGATTATTTACAGACTGGCGCCATGTAGCTGGAATATTGCTAAATGCCGCGTAAAAATAAACTTACACACTCACTCACTCTTAGCCTCAATTATCTATTACACAGTATGAGGTGGCCAATTTATTGCTGAATGTGAAAATAAGACGATACTTCCAATCTGACAGTGTGTTCTATCAGAAAGAGGGGATTCTTGATCATACAATCAGACACTCTGTTGTCTGGTCCAGACTGTTTTACTATTTGGTTGTAGTGAAAGTATCCCGTTAGCAGCCCGAGTCAACCTACCTGGTTCAACGACCCATCCCTTCTGGTCAGTCCATACTGACATAGATTCAGCCGAGATGCTGAAGTTCCACTGAGTCTGAACACCCCGAGGTGCAAACACTCTGTTGAAGGCCACAAGCTGAAGATGTGGAACCGTCACGGTGGCGTTAGACCAGGATATATACACCTGGACGACCTGAAATAGACACAATCAGCTTTTTTAGTCATGGCCCGAGGTTGGAGCATACATGGGCCATTTCTTACTGTTAGGTGAGGTGAGGTGAAATTGGGTTTTACGTCGTGCTTGAGAATATTTCGCTCATATGACGACGTGCATGCGTGTGTATGTGTATGTGCGGCTGCTTGTACTAGCCCAGACTTAAGCTGGTTTTATAGTGCTAGCCCACTGAGATACCATGCCGCAGTGAAGCATGAATACCCCACTCAGACACATTATACTGACTCCGAGCCGACCAGTCTTTGTTGTACCCATTAATGCCGAGCGCCAGGCAGGGACCAACAAGTACCATATTTTAACGTCTTTTTGGTATGACGCGGTCGGGGATCTAACCCGCGACCTTTCGCTCTCCGGGCGGATCTTACTGTTAGACTTCACTATCAATGATGCTCAAAGCAAGAACAACAAAAGATCATCGAGAAATTCCAGTTTACATTCAATACATTTACTGTAGCGATAAAGTAAATGGTCAAATTGTGAAGTTGGAAGGAAGGAAGGAAGAGTGCTAATGATGAAATCATGTTTGTGACACCGCTGCTATATCACGAAGCTGATGTTTTCTTTCAGAACTCCATACCTCATCGGCATCAAAGGATCCTTGATTGATAAGTGACACAGAACCTCAAGTCGGCACCGGCTGTCACCTGATCGGGATACTCCAAAATGTCGTAGAAAAAGCTGGTGTAGGACAGACCATAGCCGAAAGGCAAGAGAACTGGATACGTGGCGTACCGGTATGTGCGTTCAACCATTGAGTAGTTGGTCATGTCAGGCACCTTTGGAGTGAAAATTGCAGCGGATATTTTACACATTCTCTTTATGTGACATTACCTATTATGCCTACATTTGCGACGTTAAGATAAAAGTGCGCAAGGGCGCAATCAAGCTGAGAACTTACCGTGTTGATATATCTTGGCCACGTTACCGGAAGTCTTCCTGCGGGTATTGAATCTGTCCCCTCTGCCAAAAGAACTCGTCGCAGAGCCTCGCCTGTTGCTTGCGCTGGGAAAAATAGTTCCATCATCACCTGTACATTAGGACTTTCAACAGCCCATGTAATGTTGAGGGGTCCTCCATTGAACAGAAGGAGGATGACTTTGGCACCGGATGCTGGAAGGAAACACATACTGATCACTTGTACAGTGGTGCAATCAGATAAAGAGTGTTAGAGTGAATAAGTGAACGTTGTTTATCCAGAGTCTTAACGGGGTTAAGCAATTAGAACGTGAATATTAACTGTGACTTACCCTGACCGGCGTTGACAGCATCCTGCAGCAGCTGCAGCTGTTGCCCAGGGAGGTTCAGGTTGGCCCTGTCGTTGGCCTCAGATTCTAATTCCTGACCTTATTGGAGACATGCGCAAAGAAACCTCTCTTAGTAGTCTTGTATTGATGCGAAGAACTACTGAATAACTGAAGCAAAGTGATTTTACTGTAATAGAGGATGTGTTGCTGTTGATATTCGTCCCTACATGCAACATTATTTACCAGCAACATCAGATCAGAGACACACCATATGAACAGCATAATGCATACACTAATAGATATAGGATACAAAACATCCTTGCCGGGCATAGATGCTAACACACGCACGCACACGCACACACACATACACATGATATTTTGCTCATAATACACGTGACTCTCTCCCATATTTCCTCTTAATTCCACAATTATTTTCCTTGAAACGAAATACAAATATGTCATGTGGGTACCTCTGATATTGCCATGTGATTATATCAATTAAGTTGGAATATGGCCTATCAAAGACTACGTGCAAGGGTTGCCCAAATGTTAATTTAAAGACAGCTATAAAAACATAGGCTTTAGGCTTGATTACTCATTAACTCACCTGTTCCAAGACATACAAATATTAGATCGGAGCCTGTTGCTGCTGTCTGGATTTCCTGGGAGTTATACTGAGTGCATTTGTTGTCGGTGCATCCGGCTCCATACCTTACTGTAGACCAGATAGACTGTACGCCTTGTAATGGGTTGGTAGTGTATGAGGGGTTAATGTTTGGGCCATAGTCTCCAAACATCTGATATGTATTGTTGGCCATTGGTCCGACAACCTGGTGAACATTTTCATCATGTACACAAATGCACCGAGAAGGAGCAATAAGAAAAAGTGTGGAAAAGAGAACAAAACGTCGTAAGAGGGGACAAAATGAATTGGTTGGTTAGGTTGGGTAATTTGGGAACTCGATATCAGTAGTGTATATCATTTTTTACGATGCCAATCGCTGGAATGTCAGACTCAGACTCGATTATTTACAGACTGTCGTCATATAGCTGGACAAGAGTGTGGCGAGTAAAGAACAAAGACACAAACTAATACAACCTTAACCGTACAAGTAACCTTCTTCGAAATATCAAAAAGGAACTATTTGTTCCAATCTCAAATACCCACCGCCACGTTTTTGTAGTTTTTCGACTTCAATGGAAGCACGTTGTTTTCGTTTTTCAGTAATACAAACGTCTTCAATGCTGCCTCAACAGAGAGATTCCTGTGAGCCTCGCCCTGAACTATTGACATGTTCAGCTTTGTGTATTGATTCATTTCCGGTGGGTCAAACTCTCCCAGCCTCATTCTGACGTTGAATAACGTCTTAACACTTTCTCTGACCTCGTCTTCAGTCAGCTTGCCTTGTTTCACAGCATCAACTGTATGCAGAAAAATAAAACACTGACCGTCGCGTGATTTACAGAGCCATTCATCCACGTTGGTAGTTCAGATAGCCCACAGTTACACATGAATTAAAATAGGATCGACATGAGTGTGATGTGCCAAGCTACAAGACTTCAGCTCAGAGCATACATGGCATCATTGTCCTTTTTTACCACTGGGGATGACAATACATGGAATACCTGCAATAGGGCATGTCCTGTAACGTGAGAGAACGTCCAAATATCAAATATGCAACGCAATATAAGAAAACAATACTATGTCATTACGCTATTGGTGTTACCTGTTATAAGCTTGTGTACAGCAGTTGTTTTAGGGTCTGGCTCTGCGTGTTGTTGCCGTTGTCATTTACAGGCCACTCAAGAGAAGTCTTACGTCCGACTGTAATACTCTATATACCGCCAGTGAATTTGCAGAAGTATTGACTATAATTATGATATGGTTAACAACCTCCTTTTTCAATTCCCATGAACAAATCCTAGTCACATCACATATCTCCGAATATTCTTATCAGGTACTCATTAGGTCTGGGTTTTCTGATGAGAGGAGTTCTGAACATTTTCTGAACTTGTTATTTGATAACTGAACATCTGTCGTACATAAATGCTCAGCTACCTAGGCCATGTGGCTTCTTTTCCCAATTGGTATAATCAGGGTCCATCATCTAATAACGCCGATGAGGTTGCAAGTGGTATTGTTATTGTTTATTTTTTCACTGTGCACATGTGCATGACCTCATCGTAGTTTATTGGATACCGCCACACAATTGCACAATGAATTAAACACACAATGAAACTATAAAGTGATAACAC